TTCCACAGTATCCTTGTTGATATTTTGTTTGGAAGATCTATCCATTGTTGACGGTGGGGTGTTAAAATCCCCTATCAGTGTATTGCTGTCTATGTCTTTCTTGAAGTCCTCCAAGATTTTCTTCATATATTTGGGTGATCCTATGTTGGGTGCATATACGTTTACAATGTTTATGTCTTCTTGATGGATTCTTCCTTTGGGTATTTTGAAGTGCCCTTCTGGGTCTCTTTTTATGGCCTTTATTTTGAAATCTATTTTGCCTAATACAAGCATTGCTACCCCAGCTTTTTTTCCTGTCCATCCTGGAATATTTTTTTTTATCCCTTTACTTTCAGTCTGTGCAGGTGCTTTGTTCTGAGGTGGGTCTCTTATAAACAGTATATGTACAGGTTATGTTTTCTTATATATTCAGCTATCCTATGTCTTTAGATTGGAGCATTTAATCCATTTACATTTAAAGCTATTATTGATAGGTACTTATTCATATTTTCCCTTTGTACCTGTGTTCCTCTCTTTCTCATTCTGTTTCCTCATCTTAAAGCAGTCCCTTTAGCATATCTTGCAATGCTGGTTTGGTGGAGGTGTATTCTTTCAGCCTTCCTTTGTCTGGGAAACTCCTTATTTTGCCTTCCATTTTAATTGAGAGTCTTGCTGGGTAGAGCAGTCTTGGTTGCAGGCCTTTGCTTTTCACTACTTGGAATATTTCTTGCCATTCCCTTCTGGCTTGTAGGGTTTCTGTTGAGAAGTCAGCTGCTAGCCGTATCGGGGCTCCCTTGTATGTTACTGCGTTTCTCCCTTGCTGCCTTTAGGATGTTCTTTTTGTCTTTGATATTTGCCATTTTAATGATGATGTGTCTTGGAGTGGGCCTCATTGGGTTCCTCTTGAATGGGACCCTCTGTGCTTCCTGGATTTTTGTGACTTCTTCTCTCCTCAAATTAGGGTAGTTTTCCATCAATAATTTTCAAACACATTCTCTATCCCTTGCTCCTCTTCTTGTTCTTCTGGTATCCCTATTTTACGGATATTATTACGTTTCAGGTTGTCCTGCATTTCTCTAAACTCCTCTTCATTCTTTTTGAGTGTTTTTTCATTTTCTTGCTCTTTCTGGGAGGTTTTTCTACCTTGTCCTCAAGCTCACTGATTCAGTCCCCTGCTTCATCTAGCATGTGTCCTTCAATTCAGAAATTGTATTCATTTCCTCTTGCCTCTTGTTGATAGTTTTTATGTCCTTTTTCATGCTGATATAGTTTGCAGTAAGTTCCTCATAGTTTCCTTGTAGTTTTTGGTAATTCTGTCTAAGCTCACTGAGCTCATTGAGCTTCCTTAGAACCAATGTTTGGAACTCAATATCTGATAGTTTACTTGCCGCTATTCAATATGCTCTCTTTGTGGGGATTCCTCATTTTCCTTCGATTGGGGGATGTTTCTTTGTCTTCCCATTATTTGTGAGACTCTTCTTTTTGGCTTCTCCGTATATTGATTTGTCTTGACTTCCTAACTTTGTGGTGTGAACTTTTATGGTAGGAGACCACTGTTTTTACTTTCTACATCTGCCTCTGATGATGTCAGGTGTTGACCCCGTCTGACCTTAGGCAGTCTGTTGGTGACTTCCAGGAATCTCCTGCCTGTGGCTGTCTCCTTCAGTTGTTAATCTAATCACTCTGCACTCAGTGGTCAGGCTTAGGCACCACAGGGAGAGGCAGAGTCCCTCCTGGGGTCAGGCTATTGTGTCTTCTCACACTGCTGCCACTCAGGTAAGTGGTCTGCCTGAGCCAGATGGCTGCTGCTCTATGGGGAGGAGTCAGCACCAGGATCTTGCCAGTTACTCTCTCTGTTCTCTTCCCAAAGCTTCCATCTGCAGTTTCTCCTCAAGTGTCTCTAGACCACTTTGTGCCCCCTTTAGCCAGCGATCTACTATCTGTGGCTGCCAGTCTGTACTCAGCATTCAGGCTTAAGCACCACTGGGCCTGGATAGAGTCCCTCCTGGTAACTATCATGTTTTCTCTTCCTGCTTTTAAGATTCTCCCATTATATTTATATTTTGGGACTTTATGATGTTTCTTGGTGTGGTCTTCTTTGGGTCCATTTTGTTTGGGACTCTCTGTGCTTCCTGGACTTGTGTGTCTATTTCCTTCACCAAATTAGGGAAGTTTTCTTAATTTTTTCAAGTAACTTTTTGATTTCTTGCTCTTCCTCCTCTCCTTCTGGCACCCCTATGATTTGGATATTGGTACATTTGAAGGTGACCCAGAAGCTCCTTAGCCTATCCTTGTTTTTGTTTTTTTTTTTTTAATTATTTTTTCTTCTTGCTATTGGAATTGAATATTTTTTTGTCTTCCTTATGGTCCAAATCATTGATTTGATTCTCAGCTTCATCCCCTCCATTGTTGGTTCCCTGTAGACTTTTCTTTATTTCACTTAATGTAACCTTCATTTCTTCCTGGGTCTTTTTTATGCTGTTGAAGTATCCCATGAGTTCCTGGAGCATCCTGATAACCAGTGTTTTGAACTCTGCATCTGATAAACGGCTTATCTCCATTTTGTTTAGTTGTCTGGAGTTTTGTTCTGTTCTTTCATTTGGGCCATAATTTTTGTCTCCTCAAGTGTCAGCCTCCCTGGGTTTTTTCTGTGTATTAGGAAGAGGTGCTTTGACTCCATGTCTTAGTAGTGTGGCCTATTGTAGAAAAGTGCACTTTTAAGCTGGATGGGGTGGAGCCTCAGGTAATCACTAGGGCAGGGTAACCAGTATCACTGCTCTGTGGCTCTGTGTGTGGGAGGGCTCAGAGAGGGGACAGTGCTGCTGACTAGCCTGTGCAATTTTGCCTGAGATGATGCTTTCTCTCAGACCTTGCCCTGATGCCAGTCACTTCACTTTTACCCCATATGCCACTGGTGCCTCTCCAGCTGTTGCCCCAGAACTGAAGCCCAGAGAGAGTGAGGCTGCATAAGTCCTAAGACTGTTGTCAGCCCTTTAAGAGGAGTCTCCTGTGAGTCTTGCAGTTTCTTCTGCTGTCCCAACCCTCAGTGGGTTTTTCACACAGAAGTTATGGAGATTTAACTTCCTGGCACTGGAACCCTGGGCTGGGTGGTCCGGTCTGGGGCTGGGATCTGTTGCTCCTGAGGTGTTCACCACATATGGACGTGGGACCACCTGTTCCATGTCTCGTGCCTCTCTGTCTCTCTCTGTGTGTCTCCATGTCTCTGCCCCTTCAACCCATCTGGATGATTGTGACTTCTTTAAATCTTTGGTTGTTGGACTTCCATACAGCTCAGTTTTCTGACATTTCTGGGTAATATTTGTTTTGTAGTGTAGTTGTAGTTTTTCCTGTAGTTGTGCAAGTAGGCAAGGCATGTTTTCCTATGCCTGCATCTTGACCAGAAGCCAGCAACTGTCTTAAAGGCAAAAGTGAATTTCAGCTAAGGTATATTTGATGTGATTTGTCTATTTGGTTTTAAATCAGCCAATGTGTTTGACTAAATGCTAGAGGACTTCATTTTTTTTTAAATCAATGAATGATTATTGGGGGAACAAATACAAAAAAACTTCCAGACAATCTGAATTTGAAAACTGACTTTTTAAGTAATTTTCCCATTATTAGAGTAGAATAGTAGACATGGATACCCATAAAAATATATAAAGGTGGAAGGAAAAGTGTTGAGTTCCCCCAAAGACTCAGCACCAAAGGAACCCTTGTTTGTATATTTCCTTTGACTTTTAACTTCAATTCTTGAAATTTTCATTTTATGAAGTAAGCAATATTTTATTTAAAATCTTTTATTTTTTAAATCTTTTACTCTGAAGTGTTAATGTACAATAATGCCATTTTATTCATCCCTTTCTTCCTTTTCTCCATATTTAAGAAAAACAAAAAAATCTTTTTCAATTAATTTCTTCTCCCAGGTAAATTCCTAATTGATTTGAATTAGCAACCCTTGGCTAACAGAGAACAAGAATCAAGTTAGAGTAGTTATACCCCTTGTTACACTGTGGGAGGATTGAGGGCTTGAAGGATTAAGAATCAGCATTAAGCATTCCCTGGATGACAAGCGGAGCCAAAAGGGCTTTAAACATATTAAGTCATTTAATCATTTCATCCATGAGGTATATGTTACTATGACTCCCCATTTTACAGATGGGTAAATCAACACAGAAGTTATACAACTTGCCCAGGGTCATACAACTAGCAAGGGTTACAGTGAGGATTTGAATCCCATTGGTCTGGCCCCAAGCCTGCACTCAGCCACTCTGCTATATTCTCTTTGTAATCAAAATTGTCTTTCCTAACACAGGCTAGCCCCTATGCACCCCATTTTAGTATCAGGGGACTCAGGTCAATTCCTCCTTGACTTAGGATCTATGTTTAGTAGTGGGTCTGCAGATGTTTTCTGTAAAGGGCTAAACAGAAAATATTTTAGGCTTTGGAGGCCAGGAGGTCTTTGTTAGAGAGAACCAGAAAGAGAGGCAGACAGAGAAAGAGATTACAACCCTTTAAATGTAAAAAACAAAACAAAACACATTATTAGCTCACAGCTATAAAAAAGAGTTGACCCTGAGGCTGCAGTTTTTGAACCCCAGATGCATAGACTTAGTAGGGAAGGTCTACCAGCTACCTTAAAACTATGCAAAATAACATGCATGGTATGGGCATTTTTCTAATTGACCAAATTATAAAGGAGTTAGTGACTCACCCCCCCCAAAAAAGGGGGAGGTTAAAAAAACACTGCCCTAGAAAAAGGTACATAAGCTATTAACTCAACCTAAAGAAAATAAAATTGATAGAAAAATGCCTTTTGACCACTTTGTAAATGACATTTTTATTCCTAATTAACCTGTTGACTGGTTCCTAAATCAGAATGAATTCAGTGGACTTTGATACATCCTCTTTCTTCCAGATCCATAGATACAATAAAGTGAAAAAGAGTGGGAAGCATTGATCTAAAACTCTCTGTGCCTTAGTCCTATGAGATCATGACTAGGGTCTGCCTGTCTGTTTTTCAGCCAACAACTACAGGGAATCTAAGTGTCAGGCTGTCATCCAGGAACTTCGTAAGTGTTGTGCTCGCTGTCCCAAGGGAAGATCTCTCGTCTGTTCAGGATTTGAAAAAGAAGAGGTAGAAAAGCTGACACTGAAGTCTACATCAAAGTAAAGTTCTGCGGAGAAGTTAAATGCTGCACCACGTTTCCACCAAGCGAGTTTTATTTATCCTCCTATTCTTCAGGCCAGGTAGCAGCAAATATCAAATGAAAAAGTCAACTATAAAAGTTAATAAATATGCCATCTATGCAGAACAGATAGAAATATATTAAATATGTAGAATGTAATAAAACTGAGCTGCTGAAATAAGCCTGTTAAGTGAAGTTTTTTTGGTTTGGTACTTGTGATATTGTCACTTACAAGAAATATATATTTGGTTTTTGTCTGTTCCAGGCAGAGCTCCTAAAACCTTTGGAATTTCCTAAGTGATAAAAGTGATAAAGGTGTCTTTTGTTACGTTGATGAGGTGACTTTTAATGAGGAAAGCCACTAGGTAATCAATGGATGGGGGCTGGTTGCCAGGGGAACCAACCACATGATTAGAAGGTTGGAGCTTTTAGTCCCCACCCCAACACGTACCCTCAACTTCTGTGGAGGGGAGAGGGGCTGGAGGAGATTGAGCTCAATCACCAGTGGCCAGTAATTTAATCAGGTAAGGTGTTAGGTGAAAGCACTCAGCCCTCCAGTGTCATAATCATGACACCTTTTATAGACTAGGTGCTAAATTCAAAGGTTTCTCTAACCAACTCAATACCTGTTGTATTTCCAATAATTTAGAGCAAAGTGTCTTCCCAAATGCAAGCAAAAAGATTTCCTGCTTTTGCATCACCATCATGTTATACTTATTCAGTGATAGGAAAGGCATAGAAATGATTCTTCTAATGTTTAATGACCCCTAATTTGTCAAGAGAACTTTACTGGAAGTCAGGCAGGCAGCAATAGTATTAGAATTCTTAGGTGGTTTATCTATCTTTATATTAAAATCAAAACCTATTACAGCAGATCCTGATGTTAATACAAGGCTGTCAAAGGAAACCTGTTGGCAGTTGTCAGTGACTTCATGTAGTGGATGAAGGGTGAGGTAGGGAGTGACAGTATCAAACAGACCATTTGCTTTCCTCTTTGCCCCCCACCAAAAAAAGAAAACAATAACTTCCTAGGAAAGAGCAGAAATAAATTCTGATAGGTTCTCGTCTTAGTCCATTCGAGCTTCTGTAACAAAATACCACAGACAAGATGTTTATTTCTCACAGTTCTGGCAGCTGAAAGTCCAAGGCCGAGGCACCACGGATGCAGTTGTCTGGTAAAAGCCTGCTTCCTGGTTCGTAAATGGCTGCCTTTCTCGCTGTGTCCTGACATGGTGGAAGGGGTGAAGGAGCTCTGTGGGCTCTATTTTATGAGTACTAACCCTTCATGAGGGCTCCACCCCTGTTAACTAATCACCTGCCAAAGGCCCCACAGCCAAATACTATCACATTGGGCGTTAGTATTTCAACATAGGAATTTTGGAGTACACAAACATTCAAGCCCTGGCACGGAAGATCCTTCCTTGCCTCTTCCAGCACACTAGAAAAAGCCTATCTTGCTATGAATGGACTGAGATAGTCCCTAATGTTCAAATACCATTATGATTTGAGACCAACTGTTCTTTAAAACAGCATTCCCTAAAGTGTTTCTAGAAATTACCATGACAAGGAAAAAAAGTCTTCTGCGTTTAGATAAGTCTGGAGAATGCTAGAAGAAAACAGGTTTCTTTTCTGTAAGATTTCAGAGCTTTTCATATGCTAATGTGAGTGATGATTCTTTGGAAAGGATTATTGTATGCAGTACTTTCCAAAGTGTACCCAGCAAACTCACTTTGCAGACAGCATCTCTCAGGGTGAATGTTTTCCAGGGAGACTTGGAGAAATGGTGCCTTAAAGATGTTTGGTCCACATACCAGATTAACAGTGCTACAAGCTCATGAAATCATTTAAATGAACTCTTGTATTAGTAGTGAAACAATTTAATAAAATATTTTAAAACTATGTTTACATCATAAAAGAATCTAAATTACATTTAAATTATCCATTGGCGCTGGCTGGCGTGGCCCAGTGAATTGAGTGCCGGCCTGTGAACCCAGGGGTCGCCGATTCAATTCCCAGTCGGGGCACATGCCTGGGTTGTGGGCCAGGTCCCCAGCTTGGGGTGCGTGGGAGGTAACCACACATTGCTGTTTTCCTCCCTCTCTTTCTCCCTCCTCTCTCTAAAAATAAATAAAATTTCAAAATTTCAAAATAAAAAATAAAATTATCAATTGATGCCCTGGCCAGTGTGGCTCAGTTGGTTTGTGTGTCATCCAGTAAACTGAAAGGTTGTGGGTTTGATTTTTGGTCAGGGCACATGACTAGGCTGCAGGTTCAGTGCCTGGTAGGGGTGCATGCAAAAGGCAACCATTGATGTTTCCCTGGCACATCAGTGTTTCTCTTGCTCTCTCTAAAAGCAATAAGTATGTCCTCAGGAGAGAAAAAAAAAGAAAAATAAAATTATCAATTGATAATGGTGCTAGGATTTACATTAGGAATCACATGATCAAATAGATTGCTTTCCTGTGTTTTATTACAAAATTATTTTTATTGAGTTACCTACTCAAGTTTCAGACTTTTAAATTTTTTTCCTAAGGTATATTACTTTAGGGCTTTTAAAACTTCAAATCAGATTCCTTCCTATCCTTAAATTCAGTCCTGTCTCAGTTTAAGTCAATATCTATTGGCAAACATTGATTTAAATCTTATTCTTCTTAGCTATTATGACATACAGAAAAGTAGCCATCAGAGAAGCTTAACGTTTACCGATTGTTATTATGTGTTAGGGACCATAATTAGTACTGAATCTTAGTCTTCATGGAAGAACTGGGAAGGTAAGAAGTATGATCTCATCTGCATTTTAGAGACTAAAATGCTTGTAAGTAGGTTAGTGACAATAAGTCCAATTACTTGGTTAAGTAGAGACTGATGGACCTCTTGGCTGGAAAGGTAATTTTCTGTTTGTAATGGGTAATATGCGAGATGATATGTTGGTGCCTTATGAACATCCCACAACCTTTTGCCTAATAGCTTTGGCATCCACTGATGACAAAAGCCCCTGCTCTGCCATTATGCTACAGTGTGACAACACTCTTCCCAGCATCCACTCCACACTGTTCCTGTAACATTTAATAAACTGTAATATTACACTTATGTTCAGCATCTGAAGTTGTATGGCATTTAAAAGGCTTTAAAGGGCCAGTTAAGCAGTCACTTTTAACAGCAGAACTATATAATTTTATTAGCACCAGCTCCCAACTCTGTATTTCATGGTTCTCAACCTTGGCTACTCATTAGAAACATCTGAGGCATGTTAAAAGCTCAGGCGGTTTCAATGGTACCCCAAACCAATGAATCAAGAGTCTCAAGGATGACAGCCAGGTGTCAGTAGTTCGCAAAATTCCACAGGTTGATTCCCATATGCAAACAAGGACAAGAACCACTGCTCTCAATAATCTTAATGACATTTCTTACCATTTCAAATTCAGAAAGGTAGTTTGAGTCATAAGCTGACTTATGTTTTATAAAAAAGTGGGGAAAGTGCAACACTCAGTTTTCTTTAGAAAAATAGTGATCTTAAAATTCAGGATTCCTTAAGAATCAAACACCACAGATATAAGCCACACCATATGATTTCTGGGAAATCAGGTCCAGATTAAGATATATTTTCTGCCCAATTCTCCAAGGGACCTAACATTTTATAAGTGATTAAGAAGGTCCCAAATCTGGACTTTGTGACAAAGAAACAAAACTGGTAAGTTGGTGGAGGAAGCAGAGAGGGCAGCAGTCTAATTTTCTCTACAAGGTCTAAAACTGGCCTTTAGTGAGTTTCCTTCAGAGAAGAAACTGAGATCATCATGAAAATTAATGATATTCAGAAATTTCAAATCCACCCCTATACCACTTTTTCCAACCAGAGATTTACCGTATTTTCCCAAACTATACAAAAGTAGAGATTTCAAGTAAGAGCCCAGCCATTAGTCATGTCCATCTTTCTGGCAAATGCCAAACAAAATGATGGTGAAAACATCCTTACAATAGTTAACTACAAGTAATTGCATTTCAAAACCACAAACATCCTCCTAAAGAGTTTGTTACCGACAATTATGTAAGATTCATTCCTGCAAAAAAAATAAATAAATAAGGGGGAGAGGGAGGGAAGGAAGGAGAAAGAGTGGGGATAAATGTAGGGGTGGGAGAGCGGGAGAGGACGAGAGCATGAATATGAATAATCCAATCCTTTCTCCTGTCTGTTACATGACAGGAACAAATCCCCATGTGAGGATACTGTTAACCAATTTTATTATGCAATAAAACATTTGAAACCTAATAATAATAATGATATCCTTGGACTTTAATCACCTTCTGTCTTCTGCCAGCATTCATGAGATGGGTAACTGCCCAGTCCAGTAGGGAGGGTTTTCACCCAACTTTTGTAGGCCAGGGGGGAAGTCAAGCCCCTCTGCCTAAGTCCTGTTGCTAAATGTCCTAGGCAGTGGTGAGAGGTTGAAGCAAAGAGGGCAGCAGCAGCAAAATGTTATTAGTATGTTATGACAATGACAGTGACACTCATTACAACAGGGATGCCTAGGCAGGAATCCCATGAGCTCACTGTGTCAGCAATGAGGAGCTTCTCCTTAAGAAGACTGAAAACATTGGAGTATTTGTTGAGCCTGAATGCAGCCATGTAAAAGGAAAACAAGCCTGGTTAACTCTCCCCTCTTCTCTGACAACAGGAAGAACTTCGAGAAGAGAGTCAAGCTTTATAGAGCTCTAGTGCACCGGCCCCAAGTCCCCACCCCATTCGGTTCCATTGCAGAAGGGACGCTGGGTCAAAGGGTAGCTCAGGGTGGCCCAGAGCGGTGAGGATGCCGCGGTGTGAGGAGCCAAAGGGGAGAAAAGCCTTGAAGGGGTTCCAGCCACCAGGTGTGGATGGATGGCTGTGTTTTGTGCCAGAGGAGATTCTCCCAACTGGGGTCAAGCTAGAGAAGCCCTGAGCCCGGCGTTACCACATCCCTGTCAGCAGTGGTCATGGGAACCATGAACATGTTCAAAGTCAAGTCGCTGGCGCGGATCCTTATAGAGCACGCTGAATCCCTCAAAGAAAAACTGCTGTTTCTTTGCCCCACCCCCGCCCTCGCCACTTAAAAGTAGGCCTAGCACGTTATTGGACTCTGGAGAAAAATTGGGTACTGGAGAAAAATACGTGCCTCGCTAATCAAATGAAAGCAATAAATTCACAGCTACAGTAGCCTGGCCCTGGTGTCTTGGTTTTTGCATGGAGTGGCAGCTCTTCCTTTGAGAGAAATCTCATTCCCCACTTCACCACCTGAAGCGAAGCTGCTGGCCATAGTGCCTCAATTTAGAGGCTCCTCTAAATGCCTGAGCCTATTTCACTGGAGGTTCAGCTTAGCTGAAATCCAGTGTGCCACAGCACTGCCATTGTTCAACCTCAGCACCAGCTCTGCACAGCCATGGTGGGCAGAACTCAAGGCCATTCTCATTGCAGCAGGATGAGGCCAACATGGAATATGAACCTCAACTATGTCCCTCAGGGTCCGAGAAGCAGAGAGCTGGAATTAAACTTTAGGAAGGACCTATTGATCTTATTTCAGGCTATTATCTACTCTTACAACTCACTCAAAGCAGCTTAGACCAACCTGCTAGTCTTTGTTGTCATCACCAATAATCACAGAAAAAAAAATAGATGGACAAAAGCCAACCCACACCTTACTGGAGAGGCATTCAGTGGCCACTCTCCCCCACATGCAACCCAAAGGTGCACAGGGCACTGTAGTTAGGTTTTAGTCATCATTCCATTGGTCTAGGTGAGCCATGTGAGTAGTCATCAAATGGCTTCAGTCCTGATTGCCATGAATGACATAACCCAGGCACCCAGGCATCAGAAGCAGAATGTGGGGGACTAAGAACAAACAAATCAGTGTCTTCAATAAATATAATGGAAGTCAAAATAAAAAGAGCATGTAAGAATGAAATTTGTGACATAACCACATACAATATGGACCTTATATGGGTTTTGATTCAAACAAATCAGATGTAAAACTTAAGAGAAAGAAAATCTTGAACACTGACTAGATATTTGATGATATTAAAGAATTATTGAGTTTGGATACGGTAATTAGGTATTATATTTATGATTTTTAAAGAGTTCTTACCTTTTAGAGATACACACTAAATATAAGAAGACACATTTGGCACTTATTTCAAAATAGTTGATTAAACAAGGTATAATTTGATTATCATTGTAGGTGAGTGGTGATCACTGTACTATTTTCTCTATTTTTGTATGTTTGAAAGTTTCCATAATAAAAAGTGAAAAAATTAAGTTCTTGTATAAAAATATGTAACAAAGAGGCCGATAGTATTATTAGGGACAATTCACAAACATTGTAAGCAAAACAGCTTATTCCGCCTTAAAGTACTACCGTAAAGAGAAAAATGCAAATAGATGAATTCTAAAAAATTCCACAAATCCACTGGTAGCTACAATTTCCACATTCAATACATCATTCCCAAGTTAAAAGGCAAACATTTTAAAAGGAAGGTCTTGAACTTGCAAGGGATCACCCACAAGTTTAAGAATTCCAAACTTTCTGCATTCTCAGAACTTAGTCTCAATTTTTCACTTCAGTCCTTTTTCCAGATACCTTTGTATGAGATCATTATTCATATATTCAACAAATAGTGAGCACCCATTAAGTGCTAGGCTCCATGGGTATAATGGTGAACACAGAAGCGTTGCCCTCTAAAAGCAGATATTCTAGATAAGGTTGCAAATGTGGCCATTACAGCAAAATGTGCTAACAATGTAAGCGTATGTTTCTATAAACTTTTATTTTAAAGAATAAGTCTAAGAGTCAGAGTCATCATGAGACAGATTACATTTCATGATATAAATAATTTATTTTATATGTGCTATTGCCACCATTCTCAATTCTGAATACCTAAAATGCTATCTCTTTAAAACTCTGGTTCAAATGTTACATATTTTATACTAACTGGATAAAGAAATAGAATTGGCAGAGGAGCTTTGACTACCCCTAATGTTTTGACAAGAATACTTCACATTTCGAAGCTTAAAACCTTTTTTATGAAATAAAAATCAAAGAGTTTCTTCCCTCCTCCCACCTAAAGTCACTTATTTTACCATAAATAAACCCCTTGGAAATAGCCACGAGCTCCATTATCCTGTATGGTGGAAGCCCCCACCTCTTGGATAATATCTTAATGCCCCTAAATGATTCATTAAGTCTGACTATCCAACAATGTATCTATTGGTTGATTTCCCTGAAAATTTTCCCACCAAACACAGTATACTTTTAGCACAAGTTCATTCTATATTCATAATTTTTCAATTATAGTGCTTATGCCACTATTTTGTCAGGATAATTTATCAGGTATAAATACCTCTTTTTCTGTAATCTAAAACCAACTAAAAAAGAAAGCAGACACCAAGATACCAAAATCTTTCATGCTTAAAGGCAAATGTATTCAGTCCCTTTCCATGCAGCACATAACATGGTACTTATGTGCTTGTTATGCCTTTTCCAAATCGTTTGGGACAACCTTTGAGGATCCACTCATCCTCCAAGGTGAGCCATCTTGCAGTATGTTCTAGTAAGTATCTTATGTAGGGGGAAAGGAACATTGTTGCTGACCTACAGATTAGTCAAATGGGGAGTGTTCTGGGAGGAGAGTTAATGTCTATTGTCTCTTCCGTTGTTGTCATGAGGCTCACAGTAGGGCCATATCAGTTTGTACCAACAGATGCCTATAGAAGCCATTCAGATATGCTGCAGCAGGGAGGAAGGCACAGGAGAAGAGGAGGAGGAAGAGGAGACTCGATGTCCGATGATGGAGTGAAGAGGCTGCTAGTAAGAAAAAGCAGGAACAATGAGCCGTCCTCCTTAGGATGCCATGCCAAGGAGAAAGCCTCCAAAAAATCCACCAGTCACTAGAACGTTCTTCTTCACGAACGACACCATCTATAAACAGAAGATAGCACAATGGGCTATTTTGCTAAGGACATTATTATTATTAGAAATCATCTCTATTATCTATGTAATCTTGACAATGTCAATCCCCTCATCTGTTGAGTGGTTTGTACTTTAGCCACAGAGCAATAGAAGCCATGAACAGACTAACATGTAAAAGTGACCCCTGGCTGCTACGGGAAGCCCGATGGGAAGCAGGACAGATCAGGAGGTGAGACGATAGGTCTTTGGATCAGAGTGGTAGCAGAGCTGCTAGTGCACAGTGATCAAATTCAAGTGACAGGACTCTGTGTAACCAGATAACTGGCCATATGGGAGATGAGGAGGAGACGTCAAGGGCAATTAAATGGATTCTCTCTTTAGTAATACAGCTAAGAAATAGGCCCAAACATTCATGCAGGCACAGGGAAAGAAACAAAGTTCATGGGGGCAGTTACGGGGAAAGAGTAAAGCTGCATTCGATAAACTGGTTACAGAGGCAATTCATGATTTCCAATTTCATTCCTTCCATTTTCAACACCTACTCTCCAGTAGAGGCTGCTCACTCTGAAATTTCTCCTCCAAATTTCTCCATATATCCATCCTATCCATCCATCTGTCCATCTATCCACCTATCCTGCCCCCCACCCCGAGACCTCATCTTAAGTAGATGTTCTGAATTCTTCTCCTCACACTTCACATTAAGAAGAAGATTAACAGGAGAGGTCCTTATTTTGTTAAATTCCCAAGTCTCCAAACTCCTGTAAAAGTTCCCAGTTATCTGAAACTCAGAGCATATGCTTAGCACCCCTTTGCTTCTATGTCTATACTCTATAATCATTTCAGAGAGAACTTTCTTCCAAGTACAACCACCACCTCGGAAAGTGTTACTAGGGACAACACACCTGGTATTCTGGCCTAATCATTTCTTCAATCGAAGTACAATGACTTCATCACCAAACTATTTAAAGCCACTCACATCCTGACCTTCCCCTGACCTTTTCCACTCTCTACTCCACTCTTCGGAGACCCTCTAGCCCCCTCACTCCCACTGGGCCTAAGTCTCTTGTGTCACTTTCACTCCCCGACTCAACTGGACCTCACATTTCCCTACTTGAGGCGCTGTCTTTTCCATCTGCCATCAAGGGGAATGGAAAAAAAATCATACAACTTCCTAAAATAATTGTTTTCATTCATTATCTTTCTTACTTCCTACTCATTCTTCAAGTTGCTATAGTTTCACTTTCAACTCCACCACCTCACTAAAACTGTTCTCAGTGAAGCCACTGTTGTGGCTAAATACTGAATTTGTAGTTTTCATTCCCTACTTCCCAAGTGAGATAATGGGCTCTGAGGGGGGAACCAGCCACTATCCCTGAGGCATGTGACAGTGCCAGGCCATGGACAGGACTACAGAAATTTGCCCTGGCAGGCATGGCTCAGTTGGCTGGGCAACGTTCCACAAAGCACAAGGTTGCCAGTTCAGTTCCTGGTCAGGGCACAAGCCTAGGTTGGGGGGTTCAGTCGCCCATCAGGGTGCATGTGGAAGACAATGGATCAATGTTTCTCTCCCTCTCTCTTTCCTTCCCCTCTCTCTAAAAAAATAAAGAAATATGCTTTAAAAAGCGAAGAAATACAGAAATTTGTGGAATAAACCAATTCCAAACCTTTTGGTTAGTTTATAATAAGTTTCCTCTGTGAGTCAACAGTTGGTTCTAATCAAACATAAACCTCATCATTAAAGAAGTTTTCAACAATCATGTATTACTTTTATAACTGTTTGAATAATAAAGTTTTGGCACAATGACAAATGTCTAACTTTCATAACCTGAGTTTGAAGAAGAGGAATGGAAGGAGGGAAGGAAGAGGAGGAACTATCCTGGGCCCCCACAAATGCCACTTTCCACTCTGGGACCAGCTTTGGCCAACTATTTGCCACCATACAAAAGCTGTCATCATGTACTTGGTAATGCAGAGTTCTGTTCAGTATTTTTCTAGTCTGCTAAGTCATTTACCACTCATCTATCTGCTTTCCAACTCCCAAATATTTGCTGACATTTGTTGTCTACTGGTATTCTTCTCCTGTTCTATTGGTCCTTGTGGGTTTAATTATTTTTGTTTTGTTACTGCCATTTAGATAAATTTCATAAGGAAGCAGACATAAATGCTTGTGTTTAATCTACCATGTTTAACCTAAGTTCCTCTGCTACCACATATTCTATTTGATTGCACGACTTCCTCCTATCACTGCTACTAGAGTGTAAGTGCCTCAAGAACAAGGCCTACTTCAATCTACTCTTAAATCATAAATCCCTCCTCTTTTCTCTGTGAAATCAGAACTCCATTGCTCCAGGATATGAAATGTGCCAGGAACCTTGATCCTGGTTTATTTCCCTCAAGTTCAGGGTATTTATGTCTTTTTTTAAAGAATTTATTCATTTATTTTTAGAGAGAGGGGGAGGGAGGGGAAGAGAGAGAGAGAAACATCAATGTGCAGTTGCCGCTCGAGCCCCCTGCCAGGGACCTGGCCCGCAACCCAAGCATGTGCCCTGACTGGGAATCGAACCAGAGACCCGACCCTTTGGTTCACAGGCTGGCACTCAACCCACTGAGCCACACCAGTCAGGACGGGGCACTTACGTCTTTGGGACATCTGACATATTTTTAAAGGTAATAAAGCAGTAGTAAAATGCATCCTTTTAAAAAGGAAAAAATTTCCCTGTTCCTTCAGTGCCAGCCTATATAACCTAACTTGCCTTTATGCATTAGATCAGGGGTCAGCAAACTATACCCCATAGGCCAAATCCAGCTGGATGCATGTTTTTAAATAAAAGTCCATCACAACACAACTGCACTCAGTTGTCTATATATCACCTATGGTCATTTTTTTTACTACACAGTGGAGTTCAGTAGTTGTAACAGAGAGCACATGCTTACAGAGCTGAAATTATTTACCATTTGGCCATTTACAAAAAAAGGTTGCCAACCGCTGGGCTAGACATTCCACTAGTTATATGTAGGACAAGTATGGACATTTCAGAGATGTGTGTGCATGGATATAAAATGATCATATCGGCTATACAAGCTGCATCCTTATCCTCCCACTTGTTGCACTGTCCCCATCCCTACAAGAACTAGTTAAAGGTGACTGACTCACATACATGCACATATTGCTTCTCATTCTCACTCACTGACATGTCACCAAACACTTCAATTAACCAACTTTAAAAAAAAAAAGTCTCTGAGGTGAAGCTGTTCCATCCAAAGCTGGCAAATAGGTGTGTCTAGCCCCATTTTTGCACATACAAAATTGTCTGCACCCTTCACACATTTCACAGAAACAAAACCAGTCTCACCTCCTCAGCTTTGCTTTTCACCTCCGTAGGTAAGTGGTTGCTCTTACGGATCTTCAGCTGTTCCTTGGCTTTTTTCATGTCCTTCTCTACTCGTTGCCAGTCAACTTTGATGTATCCAGTATGGTTTGCAAGCTACAGTTTCAACAACAAGAGCAAGTAATAAGGAACACGGGCTTGTTGTTTCTTTTTGTCAGGATAGATCACTGAAGTACATTATCAAAAACCTTTCTGACTTTCCATTTTTGGAGACATTTGCCATCCAGTTCTCTGTACGACAATGACATTCACTCCACATTGTGCAAGGCCCAACATCTGGCACCAGATATCAATAGATTGCCCTATAATGACTGCTGACAATTACTTTATTTATACTCTTACGCCTCGCTAAAAAGTTTTAAATTAGCTTTAAAAAATAAAATGGTAAAATCAGAATTGGAAGTAAAGATGTAAGGTTGCCCTGGCTAGTGTGGCTCAGTGGACTGAGCACCGGCCTGCGAACCGAAAGCCTGATGGTTTGATTCCCAGTCAGGGCATATGTCTGGGTTGTGGGCCAGGTCCCCAGTATGGGGTGCTCAAGAGGCAACCACACATTCATGTTTCTCTTTCTCCCTCCCTTCCCCTCTCTCTAAAAATCAATAAATAAAATCTTTAAAAAACAGATGGAAGGTTAAGAAACAAACTTTACAGCCAACGTAAGTCTGAGTTTTGTTTTGTTTTTTTTTAATAAAGCAAGGCTGTCAGGTAGTAATTATTGCTGCCTTAGAAAAATCTAGCACATGGCCCCATGGAGATTTCTCACAAGTGACTTCATATAAAGGGTACTGAGAGAAGTACACCCAAACATAACTATAGAATATGTCTACGACCCTTGGCAAACACAGCAGGTACAAACACTAAAATTCAGTGAAAACAATTTCATTGAGAATGGATAAAACTGGATAAAATATTCAAATATACAATTTTCTGGTGGATTAGCACTATCCATGAAACCAAGAAACTGATAACAGCCTAGCAATCAATCCTCCATCAATATCACTTCTCTCCACCAAATTTATGTTAAGTCATATCTACCTCTAAATATCTAAATATCTAAATATCTGACTATCTCTAAATATCTCAAGCTCTTCTCCCCTCTATAGTTTCCTCCTGCACTGTTGCTCTTCCTCTAGTCTGTATTTTAGTTAGTGGTACCACCAACTAAGTTGCCCAAACCAGGCTGGAGAAATTATTTGCAATATATATAATAAACAAAACAATATTCATAAAAAGTGAAATTTTCCTAGAGCTCGGTAAGAAAAAAACCCACTAGAAAAGTGGGTAAAGGCAACTGACAGAAGAAAGTGGCCAAAAAAAGGAAAAGTTCAACTTCACAAGCAATCAAGGAAATTAAAATTAATGAGCAACTATAATTTTTTATCAGATTGGAGACAATTAAAAGATTGGAAATATCCATCATTCATAAGGATGTGCGAAAACAGACACTTTTATCCACTCTTACTGAGAGTGTTATAAATTGGAAGATAGCCTTACGAGTGAGAACAAATGTGCAAGGGAAGCCATGAGAGCAACTAAAGCTATCATGTATCTAGGAATAAAATCAAACCATAGATATATAAGAACTATATGGAAAGAAACAATAAGTTTATGCAAAGACATTAAAGAGGCCCTGTAAGGGAGCTATGATAAGAAATATGTACTTATGTCCCCATTTTATAAATAACAAAACAAAATGCAATTAGTAATTGATGAAGTTTGACTCAAAAGTCACTAGCATTTCAAATAGTACATGTAAACAAGTGCAAAGGCTATTCTAGTGTAATAGAACCAGGACTATATTACAGCTGCTCACACCACGTCCCTAATGGTCAAGTGGAATTTCCAAACATCTAAGAATATTTCACATACAGACCTGAAGGAGAAAAAATCCTCCTCCCACAGCTGTTGCAGCCAACTTTCCAACTTTCTGGAATATGAAACCCGTGCACCTACAAAAATCAAACCAACAACAGACAAGTTGACAGGCTGTCAGGTACACGGAAACAGTTGTGAGATACACACACACACACACACACACACACACACGCACGCATTAAATATATAAATATTTTATATATATCAACTATTATCCAGCCATAAAAAATAGAAAAAAACCTTATCATTTGCAACAACATGGATGGAGCTTGAGGGCATTATGTTAAGTGAAATAAGTTACACAGAGAAAGGCTGTACGATCTCATTTACATGTGGAATCCTAGAAAAGGGTTAGAGGGCAAGGGGAGGGAGAACTGAAGGGAGGGAGTCAAAAGGTACAAGCCTGCAGTTATAAGACAAATAACAGGGACATAATATACATGATATATAGGAAAGTTATATCATAACTTTCTTCTTCTGCTATTTCATTGTGGGTGTACAAAAATGCCTTCGATTTCTGAATATTGACTTTGTATCCTGCTGTTTTGACAAATTCATGTATTAGGTCGAGTAGTGTTTTGGTGGAGTCTATAGGGTTTTCAAATATACAATTTGAAAGTATATTCAAGTCGTATATATAGGAAAGTTATTACAAGAGCAAATCCTAAGAGTTCTCATCACAAAAAGAAATTTTTTCTTTCCTTTTTATTGTGTCTATATGAAAGGATGGATGTTAACCAAACCTATTGAAACCATTTTACAATATATGTAAATCAAATCATCATACTGTACACCTTAAAGTTATACAGTGATGTGTGCCAATTATTTCTCAATAATACTGGAGTAAAATGAAAATAGATAATAACTACCAATTTCAGAGGTGTTGTGAGAAGGAAAATACACAGTATATAATACTATATAATATATATAAATATTAATATATATTATATATTATATGTTTTTTAAACAGCCCCTGGTATGTAGTAAATACTATGTGTAACCATCAAATGGCACTTAAACATGTTGTTCGGATAAATGCTACACATCAAGTGATCTATTTCACTCAATGTCAATGTGCCTTTTATTGGTTAAAGAAAATGGTTCCTATAACTGCAACATTAAACCATGTTAAAAAAAAAGACACTTGACATCTTTCACATTACTTACCATCCAGTGACACCTCCAATTAACAGCTGGGTTGCCACACTATACTTTTCAGCTGAGGGTCCAGATTCCTGGCCAAACAGCTTGCGCCACCATGGCTGCTTCTTAGCAAGTTCTGCAAGGTCCAGTGAGTCAAAATTTCCTACAAGAATTAAGATGTTGAATGAGAAAATAGTTACTTTTACAATGAATCACTAACATGCCCTACTAGATTAAGAGATTTTTAAAGAGGTAGTTGTAGTAAGAACCTCCACATATTATTCTATTTTAAATAGTAAATTAACTCTGAAATTCTGACTGGCAATTTTTAAAAATCAGAATAAAATCAACAGGTAATATCTCTTAGAGGAAAAAAAACCTAGACAATACAGAACCAGTACTCTAGTTTTTCCTCTCAAATTTAAAAACAACCAAAAGGACCTAGGAAAAACTGCTAGTAATCTTTAATAATGCATCCTAAATGAAATGGATTTTCTTCATTTCCTCCTGTTCTTCAGGAGTAACTCAATACTATTCAGGAGCCCACAAATTCACAAATTCTCAGTTATTATGTGGATCTATAGTGATAATAAATATAAGAGGTAATGTTGCATTGAGCTCTTACTAGTTACCAGAAAATATGCTAAGCAATAAACATGTATATCTAATTAAATCCACAGAACAAGGTGTTATTTATTAACCCCACTGTACAACTAAAAAATGGAAGCTCAGAAGTTATTTTGCCAAGAAGGGAAGAAGACTTAATAAAATGTCTAATCCCTAAAACTATCATTTTTTGCAGATGACATGATAGCATACATAGAAAATCCTATAGACTCCACCAAAACACTACTCAACATAATAAGTGAATTTGGCAAAACAGCAGAATACAAAGTTAATATTCAGAAATCGAAGGCATTTTTGTACACCAACAATGAAATAGCAGAAGAAGAAATCAGAAAAAAATACGATTTTCTATAGCAACAAAAAAATAAATAAATAAAGTACCTAGGAATCAATTTAACCAAGGAGGTAAAAGACCTGTACACAGAAAACTATAACAACACTGAAGAAAGAAATTAAGGAAGACACAAATAAATGGAATCATATACCATGTTCATGGATTGGAAGAATTAACATCATCAAAATGTCCAGACTCCCCAAAGCAATTTACAGATTCAACGCAATCCCTATTAAAATACCAATGATGTATTTCGCAGATATAGAACAGACATTTCAAAAATTTATATGGAACCATAAATGACCCCAAATAGCTGAAGCAATTTTGAGAAAGAAAAACAAAGTAGGAGGAATCACAATACCAGACATCAAACTATATTACAAGGCCACTGTAATCAAAACAGTCTAGTGCTGGCACAAGAACAGACACATAGAACAGTGGAACAGAATAGAAAGCCCAGAAATAAACCCATGTCTCTATGGTCAATTAATATTTGACAAAGGGGGCAGAAGCATAAAATGGAGCAATAATAGCCTCTTCAACAAATGTTGTTGGGAGACCTGGACAGCCACATGCAAAAAATTGAAATTGGATCACCAACTGACACCATTCACAAAAATAAACTCAAGATGGATAAAGGACTTAAATGTAAGTTGTGACACCATAAAATTCCTAGAGAAGAACATAGGCAGGAAACTCTCAGATATCCCACACAGCAATATTTTCACCAATATATCCTCTAGGAAAGAATAAACAAGTGGGACCTCATCAAAAGAAGAAGCTTCTGCATTGCTAAAGAAAACATAAGCAAAATGAAAAGGGAACCAACCGTATGGGAAAATATACTTGCTAATGATATATCAGATAGAGGTTTGATCTCCAAAATATATAAAGAACTCACACGACTCCACTCCAAGCAGACAAACAACCCAATTAAAAAATGGGCAAAGGACCTGAACAAACACTTCTCAAAGGAAGAGATACAGAGGGCCCAGAGACATATGAAAGGATGCTCAGCATCAGTAGCCATCAGAGAAATGCAAATTAAAACCACCATGAGATACCACCTCACACGAGTCAGAATGGCCATCATAAGCAGATCAACAAACTACGGGGGCTGGCAAGGCTGTAGAGAAAAGGGAACCCTACTACACTGCTGGTGGGAATGCAGACTGGTGCAGCCACTGTGGAAAACTGTGGAATTTCCTCAAAACCTAAAAATGGAACTGCCTTTTGATCCAGTGATTCCGCTGCTGGGATTACAGCCTAAGAATCCCAAAACGCCAATTCAAAAGAAGCTATGCACCCCAATGTTCATAGCAGCACAATTTACAATAGCCAAGTGCCGAAAGCAACCTAAATGCCCATCAGTAGATAAATGTATCAAAAAACAATGGTACATTTACACAATGGAATACTACGCAGCAGAAAGAAAGAGCTACTACCCTTCACAACAGCATGGATGGAACTGGAGAGCATTATGCTAAGTGAATAAGCCAGGCAGTGAAAGAAAAATACCATATGATCTCACCTATAAGTGGAACCTAACCAACAAAACAAACAAGCAAGGAAAATATAACCAGCAACATCAAAAGAAAAAAGAAACCAACAGAGTCAAGAGGGAAGGGGGGGTGGGGGAAGGGATGGGAAGGATCAAGTCAAGGAACATGTATAAAGGTCCCATGGAGGAAGCCAAGGTGGGGAAGAATGGAGGGAGGGAGGTGGAGGAGGGGCCAGAGGAAAGTGATGGCAGGAAGGTGGAGACAAATGTATTTGAACAAAAAATAAAAATTAAAAAAATGTCTAATCCCTTTCTCTGGGGGAAGATAATTAGGGAATATTTAATGAAAAATGCACTACACTGTAAATAACAAAACACCACACAGAGAAATTGAAGAATGACCTTAATTAATGGATATATATCTATGTTTTGCAAGACCCAATATTTTTAAGATGTTCATTCTCCCCATATTGGTCTATAGACTCAATGTAATCCCAATCAAAAACCAGGTTTTTATCTAGAAATTGACTGCTTCTAAAATTTATAGGGAGATGCAAAGGGCCTAGAGTACTGTTCCCGTTACTGTGGCTATACAACAAATTACCCCCAAAGCTTCATGGAGCAAAACAATCATTTATTATGCTCTCAGACTTGGTGGATCAGGAATTCAGACAGGATACAGTATCACAGCACATGTGTTTCATGATGTCTGAGGCTTCAACTGGAAGACTTACAGGTAGGGGTCTGGAATCACCTACTACAGTCATACACAGTCTGCCTCTGTATGTAGAGTAGTTTAGGCTTTCTTAAAGCATAGTGTCTAGGTTCAAGCATGCCTGTTGTCCCAAAGGAGGAAGTGAGAGAGAGAGGGAGTCCGAGTGCTGGGCAGAAGCTATATTACCAATTGACACCTAGCTTCTGAAGCCAAGCAATATTACTTCCATGGCAGATCATGTTGGAGCAGTCACAAACTCCCATTCAGATCAAGAGGAACTACAGACCACATCACTCAGTGTAAGAAATATCAAATTCACAGTGAAAGAAAATAAAAAAGGATGTGGAATGGAAGCTGTTGCTGCAGTTATTTAGGAAAAGACAATGTGCCATAAGTAGCCAAAGCGATTTTTGGGGGAAAAAAAAGGGACAAACGTCAAGGACTTTGCAGACTTACAAAGCTACCATATTTGACACAATGGAGACATCACCTAAGGATACACAAACATATAAATGGAAGAGAATATAGAGTCCAGAAGCAGATCTATACATACAGTCATTTGATTTTCAAAACATGACACCAAGGTAATTCAGTGCGGAAAAAAAGTCTTTTCAACAAATTGTGCTGGAACTATTAAGTATTTGTAAAAACAAAAACCTAAATATGCACCTTACATATCATATAGAAAATATAATTCAAGAATTAATTCAAGATGGATTATAGATCTCAATTCAGCAGAACCAAAATATGAATGTGAGGCCCTGGGCCTTCTATGGCCTCACAGGTAATTAAATAGGAAAAAAAATTCTAATGCAATAACAAAACATTATTGCTATGTTGAAGGAACTCTCTCCCTGGGTTAAATATCACTGAAAACAAGAATGAGTTTTGAGTTTTGCTTTATCGTAATTTTACCAAGCCCCTTAGCTCAAAAAGAGCTCCAAAGGGGGATCAAATTACAGACACTTAGTTGACACAATTTCATTCAGTCATTCAACAAACACTACAGAGCACTATATAGACAAAAATAAGTCACTAGCCTTGCTCATGGGATATCAATGATCAGTGTTTTATGATCATCACAATGATAAAGATTGAAATTCCTCCAAACAATTTCCTAGGGGCAAATACTTGGTCAACCTACACATTTTAAGTAATAAAAGCAGTCTGCTCTGCAGGAAAATAATTATATTGTGTACTTCAATCCCTTAGCCACATATATTCAGTGGTGTGCTGGTAAATGTTTAACAACCAGTTTTAATTTCCATGGTGGGTTCACTCAGTGTGAGTGTAACATCACTGAATTGTGACATCACTGAACACAGAGTTTGGGAAAAGATGCTCAGTAGCGTTCTATGCTATTATTTCCACCACACAGACAAAATAAATGTAAATAGCCTTAAAAGCATAGATAACAGTATAACACAGCAAACAATAAAGTGATGAGTTTTGAGTATTTTCATTGCTTTTTTAAAATCCTCACCCAAGAACATGCTGATTATTTATTTTTACTGTTTATGCTATTACAGTTGTTCCCCCTTTTTCTCCCTTTCCCCACCTCTACCCAGCCCCACTCTCTCCCGCCTCTAAGTCAATCCCCATATTGTTGTCCGTGTCCACGGGCTGTACAAAAATGCTCTTTGGATAATCCCTTCACTATCTTCCATCCAGTCCCTCACCCCCCACCCTGCCCCGGCACAGATGTCAGTCTGCTTCATATATCTAAACATGCTTATTGATTTTATTTTCTTATTTATTTTTATCTTTTAGATTTTATTTATTTTTAGAGAGGGGAAGAGAAGGAAAAAGAGAGGGAGAGAAACATCAACGTGTGGCTGCCTCTTGAGCGACCCCTACTGGGGACCTGGCCCGCAAACCAGGCCTGTGCCCTGACTGGGAATCAAACTAGCGACCCTTTGGTTTGCAGGCCGGCACTCAATCCACTGAGCCGCACCAGCCAGGGACAAACATGCTTATTGATTTTAGAGAGAGAAGGGAAAGAAGGGAGAGAGAGAGGTAGAGAAACAGAGATGTGAGAAACAAAGATGGGTTGCCTCTCGAACGCGCCCCAACCAGGACCAAACCCGTAACCCAGGCATGTACCCTGACCAGGAATCAAACCCAGCTTTTGGTTTCCCGGACGGCGCTCCAACCAACTGAGCCACACCGGCCAGGGCCACTGGCTCTGTTTTAAACATAATTTATGCAATTTTAATTTTATATAATTACGTTTTCAATGATGGCTCTGTTTAGTTATCAGATCTTGTAAGCAAGTACTAAAGTGAATATAACCATGAAGCATTCAAAGAAGTAGGGTAAGAAGAACAATTTAAACACGTGCTCCACTGCGTATTATTTTATTGGGAATCTTCTTTTGGCTACGCAGACTAATTAAAAAGACTATTTCAAAGTACCATCCCAAGTATACTCCTCTCTGAAAACCATCAATAGCGCCAAGGGAGGCGCCTTGCACACAGAAAAACACTTGCCAAGTGTTTGCGATGAACGTCCAAAGGGATAAAGCAGCCGCCTTAACCTCAAAGTGCCAGTGCCTTCCGAGAACAGTGACGGAATGTCTCAGGGCTTAGATTTTTGGGGACGGCGCCAGAAGTCTAAATGAACCCAATAGGAGACAACACCTCGGGGCAGTTCGGCCCCAGCCTAGCGCCTGACCTTGACCGGACCCTGGGATCGGGCGGGCCGGGGGCAAACCCGGGATGCCCTCCCCGCCCCTGAGCTGCTTGGGTTCCCTGGGAAATTATGCCAGCGTGTGAAGCCCTTCACGTCCGCAAACCCGAAAAGCGGCCCCCCGCGGCGCCGACGACGCGCGCACCCGTCCCTACCTTGACTGGACGCGGCCATTTCAGCGATCTCGTCTCGCGATGACACCCGCGGAGGCTCAGCGCTGTAGGACACGGAGTGGCGTGCCGTTTTCGCCGCAACCTGGCTTCCGGCACGTGGGACAGATGTTTCCATTCCCCTGGCCGCAGCGGAAGAGGGCGGGCTGTGCTCGCCGCGGTCACTCCCTACCCCTGGCTCACATATGCGTCACAAGGCTCCAGAGGCTGAGTCACGGGCCCCGACGCCACGCCCAGCAGATGCCTCGGGACGCGCGTGCGCAGAAAGAGTTTCCCAGCAGCGTTTCGCTTTAGTACAATGCTGAGGTTGATGTGCACCTGTCAGAAGTTTCATGGGCATAGTCCTGACTCAGCCCTCCGCTAGTAAAGATTATTTTACCTATTACTTTACTAAAAATAAAGGAAACAGGCATGTCATGTTTGTTCATGTGAACATTGAGCAAATATTTATCAGTACTGGCTCTGTGTCCAACGTGTTCTAGTGGAGGAAGACAGTCGTTTTAAAACCATTTAAACAATAACAATTAGAGAAGCGCTAAAGAAAAGCTCTTTAGAGATGCTCCTTTAAAGAAAAGAGCTTCACTGCCTGCAATGCCTACGGAGCCCTTTAACTGTGCAAGGGCACATCTCCCCACCTCACTCCTAAACTACTCCTCTCGTTGTCACCCTATCCCAGTTAATGGCAACTTCACCGTTCCTGAAACCTTGGTGTTATTCTGAACTCCTGCCAAACCCCACAAATTCAATTCATCAGCGACCTCCATAAACTCTACCTTTACAGTGAATCCAGACATTTATCACTCCCCTATTGCTACCATCTTAGGCCAGGTCACAATCATATCTCACCCCAGTTACCAGGTTGACCAGCTCTTACTCTTGTACCCCTAAAGTCTATTTTCTCCACCATGACCAGAAAGATCAGTCCAAAAGGTAGTAGCGGTGATAAGGTGAAGAGATTTAAAAAACTGATAGACAAAAGCTGAGTGGGGGAAGGTAGAAGAAGGTAAACAAAGGATAAATGGTGAGGGAAAAACACTTGACTTTGGATGGTGGACACAATACAATACACATATGATGTGTTATAGAATTGTACACTTGAAACCTGAACCAGTCCACAGTGTCTGAAGAGTCCCTTTTTTAAAAATTTATTTTAATTTATTTTTTCAAATACATTTGTCTCTGCCAACCCCCCACGACTTTCCCTTGCCCCCTCCCTCCATCCCTCCCTCAGCTCTTCCCCCTTTGGTTTTGTCCATGAGTCCTTGCTATATGTTCCTTGACTTTCCCCTTCCCTTCCTTGTCCCCGCCCCCCTCCCTCCTTCCCTCTGTTGATTTCTTTTCCTAGGAGTACATACCAATTGGAAGAAATTTGACCCTGAGTCCCTCAAGAAAAAGGCTAATCTTTTGTAACATGGGCTAGTCTCAAAGTGGGCAATGGAGATGTTTAGTCAGTCAATGACACCATTAATTTCAATCCTATCTTGCAACTGGACCTGGACAGAGGTTTCATACATTTAGGCCTTTATAGCTCTCAGAGATGACCCTAAGCTATATGCTGTCAGTAAACTGGAAAAATATACTCAGATGAAAAAAGCATTTCAAATATAGGTAAATGAATTTGTCAGTCCTTTTCAAACACTTGAGTGGCTACCCAACTGTTGAGGTATTAAAAATAACTCCTTGTTTTATGAAGAAAGTCTTTACAGGGCCAGAGGTGTGGCTCCAAAACATCAAAGCCCACCAAATCCTTTTACCTTCCCAAAACCTCCTCTATTCATCTTTAAAAACTTACTGGTAATTGGCTTAATGAAACCAGTCTTTCTAGGAGAAGCTTGCTTTTCTTTCCCTACATTTTTGAAGTGCAAGCACCTGGTCTTCTCCAAGAACTCTTGTCTAGGCCATCTTTTTAAATACAAAGTTTGAGGGGGAAAATTTTTTTTAGATTTTATTTATTTATTTTTAGAGAAGAGAAGGGCAGGGCGGATAAATGAGGGAGAGAAACATCAATGTGTGGTTGCATCTCGTGTGCCCCCCACTGGGGACCAGGCTTGTAAGCCAGGCACATGCCCTACACTGGGAGTTGAACCAGCGACCCCTTGGTTTACAGGCTGGCACTCAATCCACTGAGCCACACCAGCCAGGGCTTAGAGAGATAATTCTTATCAAGAGGGGGAAAACCTTAGTTATATCTGAGCAAATCAACTTAATATATTTCAGCTATTCCTTTCTAAGTTAGTAAATTCTGATAGAAGTTATTGAATGTCTAGGTATTTTGAAATAACATGAAATACTAAAATGTTGATTGCTAGGCCTGCTTCTGGCTTTTTATTACAAAGAGGCTGTAAAATGGGTTTGGAGCTGTAGATAAATGTCTTCTGCTTTGTTGGAGGCATATTTCTTGAAAGTGAGAATGTGTTTGCCAATAAAGGAACCTATGTTTCTAAAGATCATGAGATGTGTGCCTGAAAGTCAATCTAAGGAATGCCATTTGCTTACTTTTTAGTCATCGTTGGAAACTGATAATTCTAAAAATTAAAAGTTCAAATTAAGTTGGAAAGAAGTTTCTATGGTTTTAATAATAGAAGGCATAAGGCATGGAGATGCCATTTTGAAGGACAAGGATTGAAAGTGAGTTATTCTAAAGATAGTTATTTCTAAAGGAATAAGAAAGTTTGTGAAAGTTGCAGAAAGGTTTGTGAAAATTGTAAAAGTTTGTAAAAGTTTTAAATTTGTAAAGAAAAAAACCTCAGTCAGACTCCAGTACCCTTTTTCCACCTAATTTCTCTCTGGTCATTCTTTGATGACTCTGGTGGTACCTGGAGTTGTTTTCATTACACTTTCTTTTGCCCTTGTCAGTGTGGGAAAACCTACCTGTCAGTTGTGGAATAAATCCTTCATCAAAATGCATTTTGTCAATGCTGAGATAGAAGGTAAGGCCACCCTCAGGGCATGGAGTAAACACATCTGCATGTCAAATGGACTTCATCTCTCAAACTAGTTTTCTCTCTCTCTCTCTGCCAGTGTGGCTCTCTCAAATGAGCTTTCTATTGAGTCCCTTGTCTGAGTGGGTTAAATCTATACCCAGGGCATCTGGCTGACCCTCAGACACAGGTCACCCTCAGACACAGGATAAACACACCCATCTCTTTGTCCTTTTCTGCTGGTGTGGACTACAACTCCCAGCCCTCCATCTGCGGAAAGTATCTTCTGTCACCAGGTTTCTGACCTTTCAGGGGGCCAAAGTAGCCCCGCCCAGGCTCTTCCCTGCTGCTATACTCCTTGGGTCCAATACTTTCTTTCCACCTCTCATTAACAGTCCTTGAGGCCCTTGAGAGTCTCAACAGGTCTTCTTGCTTGGTATTTAGGACCTTCCATCCCCTTTCCAGTCTTCTTAAAAGTTGTCAAAAGCAAATTAAAAAATCTTATGTTTTCTCTACAAAAATTAGTAATTCAAATTATGTGTATGGTCTTTATGTATTCAGCCTTCATGTGTGTGGTCTTTATGTGATATGTGTTTGTCTGTGTGTTACATGTGGTGCTTTTTCTGCCTCCAGATGGCATAACTAGGTAGTAATATTTTATTGGCCTAAAGATATTACGTACCTATATAAATTAAACAGGATCTTATGCTCTGGACAAAATATTTGATGTTAAAACTGGTTTTAAGTTTGGTTAATGTCTTCTAGGGTTATTACAAAAAAAAAAGTCTTGTTTTACAAAAAGGTTATATTATAATCTTTTGGTTAAGTACACTTGACAACTTTCCCGAAGTTTAAATTTTAAGAAGTGAGAAATGACTTTGAGTTACTCCAATGAGCCCCTGTGATACCTCAAGGATTTATTCTCTCTCCTTACAAAAGAAAAGTTCTTGAACTAATTAGGCCTATTTAATATGCTTGAAATTATACGGGAAGTTTGCCAAACAGAATAACAATAACTATTTTATTTGTATACATATATTTTTTTATCAAAATAGATTTTCTAGAAATTTCAACCTGCCCCAGAAAGAAGCTTGCAAAGATTCAGAGTCAAGTTCAAACAGGAAGCTCTCACGGGGACCAGCTCTCCTGTCGGTGACACTGGGCAAGCCAGGAGTGATGGGGACATCAAGTAGTAGTACTCTTGAGTATTTGTAATCCACACATTGGGTATTTATGAATTGTTTCCAATGCTCAATGCACACTTTTGATAAATCCTGTACAGCATTTTAAAAGCTTATATACTGTTTGGTCTTTATATATTAAGATTGTGTGTTAAATCTAAAACTATAGGCTTTATATTGTTCTTTTATGTCATTTTATAGTAATTATTACTTATCAAGAAATTGTTATCTTGAAATATTATATCTTACAAAGAAGAAAAGTTATTTATCAATTGCATTTTAATTGAATCTACAACCACGTCATTTTAAATTTGGTCATTTATAAACAGACACTGTTTTCCTCTAATGCATTTGTGAATGTATTTTTGGATAGGTTCATGAAAAGGACTTTGACTTACTCTAAGTTGCAGGTATCTAAGTAGGTCATGTCTTTAAAGTAAATAAAGATTTATAGAACACTTAGTGTAACTTGGTTCAGGGAAATACTGGCAAACAGTTAAGACAAATAAAATTGGTTACATGGGCCTGAATGAACTAAAGATAATTGTTTTTCTTGTGACTTTATTCAAAATATTGCTAGTTTTAAAACTTTTTGTTTTCCAGATATAAGAAAACTTTGTTTTTTTCTCCAGAACAATTTGTAAGTTATACCCCCATAAGCAATATTGAAATATTTCTGTTTTTTGCTCTAATTCCTCCAAATTCAGCAACTCTTAATGAGTGAGTATTATTTTTATGGTAACATGTTTGTTTGCATAAACTCAATAAGAACCTGTTCTCTTAATAATAGCACCAGTTTCCAAACGTGGTTTTGTTAACCAAGTCTTTGTCTGAAAGGTCATAATCAAAAGAGCCATGCCTGAGACGCTTTTCCAAGCAGGAGATACAGAGGGCTCAGAGGCATTTGAAAGGATGCTCTCAGCATCACTAGCCATCAGAGAAATGCAGATCAAAACCACCATGAGGTACCGCCTCACACCGGTCAGAATGGCCATCATAAACAGATCTACAAACAACAGGTGCTGGCGAGGCTGTGGAGAAAAGGGAACCCTAGTCCACTGTTGGTGGGAATGCAGACTGGTGCAG